TATGGAGACTACCTGGCTATAGAAGGGGTATATAAGGACTATACAATGGTTATTTAAGGTCATGTATTTAAGGGTCCCTATTAGGGGTCCCTCCTAAAGTCCTTAGATGTACTGTTGAGGATATATATCCTGCACTACCTTAAGGACCCTAAGGGAATTATGGTATATTCCTTATTACGGGTAACCCTAAACTCTAAACCCTAAACCCCTAAACCCTAAACCCTATATTCCTTCTTATGGGTAGTGCAGGGTTTATATCATCAACCATAGCTAGGGGGTTTAGTGTTTTCCCGGCTCGGTCAGGGATTTGGGGCTTCGTCGGGGTTAAGCCTTAACCCCTGAAACCTACGCGTGATCCCTTGAAGGAACCCTGAAACGAGCCCCTTAAAGGAAATCTTACACCCTAAACCTTAAACCTTAAACCCTAAACCCCTGAAACCTCCCGTAAAGGAAATCTTAAACCTTAAACCCTAAACCCTAAACCCCTGAAACCTCCCGTAAAGGAAATCTTAAACCCTAAACTCTAAGCCCCTGAAACCTCCCTTAAAGGAAATCTTAAACCCTAAACCCTAAACCCTAAATCCCTTAGCTCCAAGGAGCCAGGGTGCCTTGGTCCACTTTCTGAGCCGCTCCTACGCGGGCTTCCTGATCCTCCCCTCCTTCGTGGCTTTGGTGGCGTCCTCCTGGTGCCCTGGGCGCCCAGAACCCAGAGACTCCAATACCCCTTAATTAAGGAATATACTTTAAAGTATAGTAGGATCCCTAATATGATTTAAGGTATATTCCTTAATTAAGGGATATTGGAGTCTCTGGGAAGGGACCTTTTCATGATGACGCTTTAAGGGGATTGAGGGTTTAAGTTTAGGATCCAGACTTGGTGTATGGGTGTTTGCGTGTGAGTCAGAGCTTGTGCTTATACCCTAAACCCTAAACCCTAAACCTTGCTTCTGTTGGCCCTTCAGTGCAGCTCTACCCGAGCCCTAAACCTAAGCCATTCCGAACCCTTAAGGGGCATCTCTGCAACTCATGCCTTAAACCCTAATGTAGAAGCCTAAATAATCAGGAATATTATTTTTGGGGGTTCCTTTATTATTGATATTTATACTTTAAGGCTATATTACTGAAACCGACAGTCTAAGGTGCATCTCTGCGACCTACATGACCATCTACGCCTGCTCCGCCGGGGAGCTCACGGAGCTTACGCCTGCGAGTTCGATCCACTCGCTGAGCTTCGCGCCGTGGTTGCTTGGCCGCGGAATGTTTACATGAGTAGGCACCCACATCTTAATCCCGCAATGAAGGAAACTACCGTAAAATGCGGTAGGATCCTTGATATGGTCTACGGTGTATTTCTCAATTAACGTATCTTGGAAGATTTGGGTACTCCAAGGACTCGCAAGTCACGTCAGCACAGGAGATGCTTAATGTCATATTCCGATGCACCAAACCCCGTACCCTAAATCCTAAAGTTCTAAGGTTCTAAAGTCTTATTCCTACACCCAAAGCTCTGGGAGGCAGACGTACTACGAGGTCATAACGGATGTCTCCTTCCAGCAAATGGCTCTCATGGCCTCAGTCCAGCCATCCATGACACGCTCCATGTCGTTTCTGGGCTCTATTAAGGAACCGAATGTAGTTTATTTCGTACCATACAAGAAAGTCATATTATTTGCCATAGATCCCTATTATGGTAACTTCAACTAAATTCTTAACCGTCTTAACCCTTAGCCCTTATAGAACCCTTACTGGAACCATAATTTATGGTAACCCTAAACCCTAAACCCTAACTAAGAGTACAAAGAGAGTACCACCCCAACTTAAAAAAAAAACAAAACACTGACTAAGAGTGCAAAGAGAGTACCACCCCCAACTTGAAACAAACCCTAACTAAGAGTACAAAGAGAGTACCGCCCCAACTTTGAAAAACCGTAACTATGAGTACAAAGACAGTACCACCCCAACTTTAAAGAAACACTAACTAAGAGTACGAAGAGAGTACCACCCCAACTTAAAAAAAAAAAAACATCACTAACTAAGAGTACAAAGACAGTACCACCCCAACGTTAAAAAAACACTAACTAAGAGTACAAAGAGAGTACCGCCCCAACTTTGAAAACCGTAACTACGAGTACAAAGACGGTACCACCCCAACTTTAAAACAACCTAACTAGGGGTACAAAGACAGTACCACCCCAACGTTAAAACAAAAACCTAACTAGGAGTACAAAGACAGTACCACCCCAAGTTAAAAAAAACCCTGACTAAGAGTACGAAGACGGTGCCACCCCAACTTAAACAATCACTAACTAAGAGTACAAAGAGAGTGCCACCCCAACTTTAAAAACTAACTAAGTAAGAGTACAAAGACAATGCCACCCCAACTTACAACAAACAACAACCTAACTAAGTTCTAAAAGAGCCCTAAACCCTAAACCC